TGGACAGAAATGGTAGCTGAAGGTGACACTGGCAGAGGAGACAATGGTGGTGACACTCAAACTAGCGTTTGTTAGTACTGCACAGAAGGTGGCAGTGGTTAACCACTGATGAATTTTTCATTAACTATGATGAGACAGTCCAAAATGATACAAGAGTCAGTGCTGGAACAGTGCCTTCCAAATCAGAAAGCATTCTATCAGCTACTGGGGAAAAGCAAAGGACAAGTCTGAACAGTGTTGTCACTAATGACGCAATTAGATTAAAGCTGAAAGGACCTCTAGTTGCTGACATGTCCAGAAGTAAAACAAAAGTCCAAACTGGTACAACACATAAAATTGGAACAAGGAAGGTGAAAAATATAAATGAAGGGAAACTGCAAACTATAGAGCAAGAAATGGAACATTTAAACATTGTAGCACTTGGTGTCATTGCACTAAAGTGGACTGGAATGGGTATTTTCAGTCAGGAAACTACAAAGTGTTCTACTCTTTGACAAACTCAAAGGAAATGGAGTGGCTCTAATATGGAAGCAAGATGTAGTAAAAGCAGGCACTATAATGCAAGGTCTGACGAAATAATATCAATCAGATTCTATGGAAAACCAATAAACATAAACATCATTCTAGTCTATGTTCCAACTACCAATGCCGAAGAAGCTGAGAAGCTTTTATGCAAGCATCCTGGAGAAAATTGTTCACACACTAAAACATGACATACTTATAATCATAGGTGACTGGAACACTACAGTAGGAAACAAAGAAGAACCAAATATCTAGAAGATCCAAAAAAAGGAAATTTAAGCCTAGATTTGGAATGTTGAACAACTAACAGGGAAGTACAATATTTGACCAGGAGAAAATAAAAAGAAGGAGTAAACAATATACTGAAGACGTATACAGAAAACATAAAAGGGTAACAGACCTCCTCTGAAGGGGAACATTATGATAAGGAATTTGCAGTTTTAGCACATGAAGTGAAAGCTGCTCTGAAAGCACTGGGAAGGGATCACTAGGAGTAAAAGAGATGTCATTAGAACTTTTTCGCACCACAAAGACTGAATCTGTCAACATGCCAACAAATTTGGAAAACAAAGCAATGGCCCACAGACTGGAAATGTTCAATATACATTCCAGTCACCAAGAAAGGAGAGGAATGCAGTAACTATAGAACCATTTCTCTGATTTTCCATGCAAGCAAAGTGATGCTGATGCTCCTTTTATCTTATAAGGAGCAAGGAATGCCAGATATTCAAGCTGGATTCTGAAAAAGAGGCACCCGAGAACATATTGCAAATATCCACCAGCTACCAGAGCACACCAAAGAATTTCATAAGATAAGTCTATGTATTATAGACTATAGCAATTACTTTGACTATGTGGATCCAGACATGAGTTGTTGTGAAATAAACAGGTGCGGCTCAGCACTTGATTGTCTTGATGCGTAACTTGTATCATGGACAAGAAGCTACAGTTAGGACAGAATATGAAAAGACCGAATGATTTCCTATAGGCAAAGGTGTCAGACAACGGTGCATTTTCTCCCCTTATCTATTCAATATGTACACAGAACATATAATATTGAAAGCTGGATTAGATTCAGAAGAAGGAAGAGTTAATATCAGTGGAACAAACAGAGGTCATTTAAGATACGCAGATTACACCATTTTATTGGCACAATGCAGCAATGATTTGAAATGACTTTTAGTAGAAGTGAAAGAAGAAAGTGTCAAAGTGGGACTATAGCTGAACATTAAGACAAAAAGGCAATAATGCTAGGAAAGATTGAATGCGGCCAGAAAAGAGGAAGACAAATTATGAGATGGATTAAACCAAAGGTTTGAGTTTACAAGAACTGAGCAGGGCTATTGAGGACCGGACATTTTGGAGATCACTCATGCATAGGGTCACCATATGTCAGAGGTGATTTGACAGGATGTCAGAACAACAACTATCTCAGTTTATTCCATGAGGGCTTAATGTGCTCATAAAGGAACTCTCAGAAATATTGACACACAAGGTCTAAAAGAACTGGCAAACAATGGCACTGCTTCCTGTAGGGAGCCTCTGACAAATTGCACTTCCCTCCACTGGAAGAAGACATTCTATTCACAAGAAGCAACTCTGGATCTAAATATATATAGGGTATGTACATGCATGTGTGTGTGTGTGTGTGTGTGTGCGCGCGCGCGCACGTGTGTGTATAAAAAATTTATGTGGACACGTGTCTACAGTCCAGCATATCAAATTAGACCAAAATTACCTAGCTATTCAGAAGAAATCTTTAATATCCCAGACTTTCTCTCCACAATTACACTCTATTTTGGCAATGTTACCGAGGATCGTTTTAAAGTCTAACTTTTAGATGATGCTTAAAAGATACATACCCTCCAGCTGCAGCTGCATGAAGACAAGTCCTGCCAAAATCATCTGGGGTATCTATGTCAAAGCCTACAAAACAAGCAGTTTGTGAAGCCACCTGAAAAATTAATTTCCTCTATCTAGTTTGGCAGAATATGGTATTACACAAACATCTTTATGTAGCAGTCATGAGTAGAGATGGAGATATTTGTATTCATAAATTAATACAAATATCCCCATACCAGGTGCACTGAATGCGGCTCCAGCCCTCTGAACTTTCCCATCCACTTGCCACTGCACCACCAGCCTCCCACTCTTCTTGCCACTCGGAGAAGTAACTCCACTGTCTCCCTGCTCTTCTGGCCACTCAGCAGCCATGCAGGGAGACTTGTCCTCCTACCCCCTGCCTGGAGCGGCCAGCCAAGCCAGAAGATGGTGGAGCTACTCCCATGATTGATGAGAAGAGCGGAAGGATGACAGAATGGCAGCGTGTGAGTGGACGGGCTGGTTCTGAGGCCAGACCCGTATTAGGTGTGCCTAGGATGGGGTTATTCATATTCATGTTCATTTACAAATACGAATATCCCCATCTCTAGTCATGAGCTACTGCTTCTACAACATTTACTTATTTTCAACGTATGTTCATTTGATGCACAAAGTAGCAGCTTTGATTCAACATCTGTAGCACTTATGCTAGGTCATTTTAAATGCAACAATAATAACTGATATGTGCTATCTGCAGAAGACTGGGGCTGTATGTTCTGCCATTCAACCTCAAATACAGCTTTTTGTTACATCCAAATTTGGGGGAATGGTGCTTAGTTTAATTTGTGCACAGTCTAGACAAACCAGGATCAAACTCCTGCTTAGGATTCTGGCTTACTGATTAACTAAAATAAGCCCAGTCCCCAGAGTCCTGGGCTGTAACAAGGATCTCTTTTTATTTTATAACTGGAAGCAGATGCTTCTGACCTGGGGAGAACAGGCAATGCATGATCCCAAGTACAAAACCACAAATGAGTAACATTATGTCTAAATTTGTCTGATGACTATGATTATATCTTCAGTTTTGTTTTATGTTGCACAATTGTGATGCAGGAAAACATAACATCAAAGAGTTACCATGCTGATTTCTAGCATGATACACTATGCTATGAAAAGGCTTTCCAACTCTGAACTTATTTTAATTTTAAAGGACCCTTTAAAGCTTTTAGACAGTGTTTGGTCAAAACATCTGTAAACTGACACCAGATATTCCGAACAGCTAAATGTAAAGGTTTTGCTTTAATACAAATATACATTTTACTTCATTATAAGTTGCTTGTTAAGGGAACAAAAACAACAAATGCTTTGTGACGGGTAGAAATTATATTATTTACAGTTACATTTTACATAAAGTTTAAAAAAGCCGTCCCTGGAGACTCCTACTGTAATACTAGTTCAAGAGGGCATCCTGAAACTAATTGTCCATTAAGACCAAAGAGACAGACTGCTCTTTTTATTGTTCTGAAAGGCAGCAAGCCCTCATGCAGATATGAAAGAACTAAAAACTAAAAGCAATAGCTGACCCCTCAATGCCATGCTCCAATGGGCACTGAAATTCAAATGGTCATAAAAGCATGTGCTACATTTTTGTGAAACTCCAGTTCACAGTATTTACCAGTTTTATGATATGTACAGAACTGCAACTGCCTTTTCAAATAAAATGCTTCCAGTCTACAAATCAACTGTGCTGAATCTTTAAAAACAGATTCAGTAAAGCAAATGATAGTAACTGAAACTCAAGCTACATTCTTTAGCATTCAGAACAACGTATGAAGGAACATACAGAAATATTACAACGGCTACCAAAATAATTGGTGTAATCACAAAATGTATGGTTTGGGGCTGGTTGGGGCCACAGCTCTGCTGGAGATAAAGTACTGCAAGTATGAGGGTGGCACATTGAGTCTTCTAAATTATGAGCAGGATACAAGTAATATATATAATTATACATTAAATACATTCCCATTTAAGAGATCAAACTGGCAACAAGTAAAAACTCTACATTCAGTACTTTTCAGGTGCCACAGCTATGTCTTTACTATGCCAAATCTGATGAAGACCAAACTTTGTGACATATTCACCATGAAACACAGGCTTGGTCTTTCTTTTAAAAATGAAATGGTCAGGAAATTGATATAACTTCAGCATTTTTCATTAGCATCAATGTTAATGGTTGCTTTCCTTGTACAAACCATGTTTTTGATTACTGTGAATACATGAACATTCTAGAGACCCACCTCCTAGTCTTACACACAGACTTTTTATTACTCCATTGTAATAAAATCACACTTTGCTGTTAATGGCTGAACTGCCAACTGTGGCTAGAGTGTTTTTGTATCACAGTAACAGCAAATGTTTCCATTCTCTCAAGAAGCAGAATTTCTTATCCTACTAAGAACCAATATTACTCCCAACAGAATGAATTTCAAAATGTGTGAATATTGTTCTCTTGAGTAATATGGACAACTATTTCCAAGAGACAACATACTAAAAAATAACATCTCTAACTAAGACATAATATACTGAGAAAAGACATTTCAAGAGGATAAAGACATTCCTATGTTAATTACAAACCCAACATTCTATAAAGAAATTAGAAACAGCCAGCTACTTCAGTTTTCAATAACAGATGTAATTAATTATACAAATTCCTGGATTCAAGCTGACTTCATGCCAAATAAAATGCCTTTGATGCTATTTCTACATTACTTTTAAAAAACAGAGCAGTAGTGATAAATGAAATACATCAATGTGAGCACAGTAAGGGATAAAAACAATATATTTTAAGATATCTAATGAATTGTTCATAAACTGGCACCTGCATTTGTGGGCTATGGAAAGTCATTCAGTTACAATTGTGTTGAATCAGAAGTCAAATTACAGTGGTGCCTCGCATAAAGATCGCTCCATTTAGCGATGAAATCGCTTTGCGATGGACTTTTTGGCATCGCAACAGCGATCGCTTTGCGATGGCCCCTGTGGGGAAAATTCGCTTTGCGATGATCGTGGGGGAGCGCTCCCCCACGATCATCGCAAAGGCCCTGCCAGTCAGCTGTTCCAAAAAACGGGCTTTGCGCTGCTTGCGGGGAAGCACTTCCCTGGGAGCAGCCCAAAGGCTCACTTTTTGGAACAGCTGACCGGTGGGCGTTTGGGCTGCTCACGGCAAAGCGCTTCTCCAGGAGCAGCCCAGAGGCCCGCCCGTCAGCTGTTCCAAAAAGCGGGCGTTTGGGCTGCTCCCGGAGAAGCGCTTCTGGAGAAAAACCGGCGTGCGCTCGGGAGGAGGGTGGGGGAGCCTTCCCCCGCCCTCCTGCCCGAGCCCCGGCCCCATTTTCGGCCAGCTGATCGGCGGTTCCAAAATGGCCACCGCAACCATTTTCACGTGATTTCCTCGCTTACCGAGGGCATGAAAATGGCAGCGCTATGGAGGATCTTCGCATAACGGTGAGGTTTCACCCCATAGGAACGCATTAAACAAAGTTTAATGCGTTTCTATGGGGTTTTCCCACCCGCATTGCGATGTTTCCGGATAGCGACGATTAATCTGGAACGGATTAACGTCGCTATGCGGGGCACCACTGTGTTGTACTGTGTACTAAATCAATACATTCGGACACTGAAGTACATATTTCAATTCTAAATATGCATTTACAAGCAAAGCAGCGTTCTAAAGCAAGGTATTACAAATGCAGATAAAGTTTCACATTTATTACCATGGCTTCTCAAAAGGGCAATCAGCTAAATGAGGGGAATATAAGGTCCAAGGGTAAATTTTCCACCTCCCCTTCAAAGGTGGCACTTCTCTGATAATACATTTTGCCTTGGGATGGGGGTGAAAGCCTTTAATATCAGAAAATCCCTGAAGGGTCACTGCTGGTGATCCTGATCTACATGTGAGATTGCCAACAGCAATTTCCCAATATTAAAGGCTTCCCCATGGATCTCAAGGCACCCATAGTTTTCCCAAGGGCAAAGGGGAACTTGAGGGAGTCTCAGCAGGTGACACAGGTGGGTGGTGGGTGGGAAGAACAGGACGCTTAAAATTTAATTAAATTAAAGATATCCTTTGCCACATAATGATGGCAGGGTCCCTACCAGCTATGCAGTTCTAAGATTGTTACTATAATGTTGTTTGCTGTTTTCAACTTATATACTTATATATATGCTGCATATAGCATTCTCTGTATAAAGCGCTCTCTGGGTGGTTCACAACATAATTATGCAAACAACAGTTTGCTCCCTAGTGAGCTGGGTATTCATTTCAACAACCTTGGAAGATTGGAAGGCTGAATCAACCCTGAGTGGGCTACTTGAGCCTGTTGGTATCAAACGCAGTTCATGAACAGAGGCTTCATTGCAGTACTGAAGTTTAATTACTGTGCCATGGGATCATCATCATCATCATCATCATCATCATCATCATCATCATCATCATCATCATCATCATCATCATCATCATGTATAAATTTACATCAAGAGGATTTCAATATGTCAACAAAGATTTTCAGAAGTATTATGATAATTTTGAAGGTGAACCTACCTGATGAAAGTAGCTTTCTGCAACAGTCTGAAAATCCACTTAATGCTGCCAGATGGAGAGGAAACATTCCATGTATACCCCGTCTAAGATACAGCATAATCAGACATCACAGTCTCATTACAATAGAAGTCTATAAGTGCATTTGACTGTTCTTGTTAGAGCAACTATAGTAAGTCACTAGCACATTTGAATGTGACCATTCAATCTAAACAAGAGTACATCCTTTCAAAATGACAAGCAATTAAAAATTAAACCTTATCAGTCTTTACACTAGAAATATAAACAGCTTCAATTGTATTTAGGGAAATATTTTAAGCTGAAAGAAGCATGTGTTAAAAGTAAATCTGAATTTATATAGAGAGTATTATGTATGTTCTTTATATATAAAAAGTTGCATGGGCAACCTGACTAGCTTTTCTTGACAGATATTAAGGGCTTTGTTTCATATACAGTACAGTGGACCCTCTACTTAAGGAATTAATCCGTATTGGAATGGTGGCTGCAAGTCGAAAAGTCTGTAAGTCGAATCTCCATTGACCTACAATGCACTGAAAACCGATTAATCCCATAACCAGTGGTTTTTATTCTATTTTTATTCCATTTTGGTTTTTTCTGGTCTGTAAGTCGATTCTCTGGCTGCAAGTCGAATCTAAATTTTGCAGCCAGAGAAGTCTGTAACTCGAAAAGTCTGTAAGTCGAGCCGTCTGTAAGTCGAGGGTCCACTGTAATAGGCTAGCATCCAAATTTGAGGCGGATTGTCATTTGATGAATGAACGTGTAAATGGAAAATGGGTTGTCTAATGAAATCTTTAAAAAGCCAGAGTAACCCTTGCTATTCAGAGTATATAGAATACTGGATAAAGTATCTATTGCTCATGTTCCAAACTGGCAGTTTATGACACCAGTCAGATGCCTATTGGCAATTTATGCATGCATAAACTATGCAATATTATGCACTTATTAATGAAGTGTTAGTTGCCTTCCCATCCGAGTGCCTGATCATGGTGTAGGTACATAATCAGGAACATGGCTGGCATTTTGTTTTTTTAAACATTTTATTAGTTTTCGAATATATCTACATTCAGTTCATGCTTGTTAAACATCGTGTTACATGAGTTGCTTATAATTATTTGTGTTTTTTTTGCATCTTGGTGTCTTCTTAGTTGTCTGATCAAAATTTATATATATTTTTAAGCATTTGAACCATTCATGTTTGTATTTTAGTGTGCAATATTGAGTATTATCATAATATTGCTCTCATTGTATACAATGTTCTCAAAATCTAATAAAACACCTAATAAAAGCAATTCTGGTTTCAAATCTAAATAATTTTGAGGCGATTTAACCGAACAACTTTGTATTTTATACCAATAATAACTAAATAGGTTCATAAAACATAATAGATGTTATCTAACGCATTTTATAAAGATTTTCTTTATATAATTGTTTAGACATTTCTATCACTTTTTCTGTCATGTCTATCTCAATATCATATCTAATGTATGTTAAGTACTATTTTTTTTAACCTCAATCTTTATGTCTGGCTTCAATTCACCTTAAGAACCACTGTGTTATACCTTTACCCTATTAGTGATCCCTTATTTCAGTTTATTTCCCTTTTCTAATATATATGTCATCTTACAATTCTAGAAGTTAGGTGTATACAAGCTTTCAACGTTAAAGGCCACCTTAATATCTTTTTCCTTTTCATCTTTCTAAGTATCTCATTCTCTTGTTTGTCTTTTCCCAATTCTTATTTCTTTCTCTCTAAAAATTCTGGCATCCCTTGTACCATCCGAGATCATTTTATGCACTTGATCTATCTCCAATAGGTCTTCCATACTATTTTTAATTAAATCTGCTGGTTCTCTCCCCTTATCTTCCCTTATCACACCTAAGAATCTCCTCAGCTTCAGGGTTAGAATTAGATCTCCTAAATGTTCTCCTCTGATTTCCTCCAGCCCCTCCTTTGATTGGCATACATCATCCATCACCCTCTCATTTCCTTGTTCATTATTCCCTGTCTCCTGTTGACTATAGTCCTTCCTTAACTGCTCAATGAATAATTTTGCCTCTTTGTTGTAGGATCTCACTACAGTGATGCCTCACAAGATGAATGCCTTGTGCAACGAAAAACTCGCAAGAGCAAAATGCAAAAATTTTCACCTTGCGAGGCACAGTTTCCTATAGGGATGCATTGAAATTCAATTAATGCGTTCCTATGGGCGAAAAAAGTCACTTACCAGGTAGACCAAGGAGCGTCTGTAATAACGGCCTGGAACGCCACCCGTGCTACATTCATCTGCCTCTTTGGCGTGAGAGAGGCTTCTCCCCTGGATGTTTCGAGTCCGGCTGTTCTATTTGATCCTGGGGCTGTTTCCTCTTAAGGGATGTGTGTGAGCACAGCGCCGAACAGCTGAGAGACAGCAACCAGCGGAGACGACCACAGCATGGCTGCCGCCTCTCAACTGGTTGCCACCTCTCAGTTGTTTGGGCCGCCTCTCAGCTGGTTGCCACCTCTCAGTTGTTTGTTACTCCACTCACGCACACCCCTTAGGAGGATACAGCACCAGGATCCAATAGAACAGCTGGACTCAAACATCCAGGGGAGAAGCCCTGCGTGCGCCAAAGAGGCAGATGAATGTGGTGGGTGGGGGGGCAGCATTCCGGGCTCTTGTTACAGATGCTCCTTGGTCTCCGGGGCTACCTGGTAAGTGACTTTTTTGCCCATAGGAATGCATTAATTAAATTTCAATGCATTCCTAAGGGAAACCGGCCTCGCAAGATGAAAATTTCGCAAGATGACACGACTTGCGGAATGAATTATTTTCGTCTTGCAAGGCATCAGTGTATTTCTAAAATTGCTTGAAAGGTAGATTTTGTTTCATCCCAAATTTTCCATGTTGTAGCATTATGTTCCAGATATCAAACAATTGTATTCCAAGTGGAAGTTGTCCAGTTGCTTGAAGTAATCAGTCCAATTCCATTAATACTTGCTTCCATAGGTCCACTTTAATAGACTGATCATCTTTAGGGTTAAACTTAAATCCAGTCTCAGACATAAAGGGTTTCCCCTGCTTGAAGGCTCAAGGACACTTGCTCACCAAATAGTTCACTCTTTGTATTCATGGCCTGATGTCTTTTGTAATCCAGCGCCAGAGGTAATCCATTCAGAAGTTCAGAACCCAGGATACAGTTTAAAAATTCCACTTTGGCAGGATTAGGCTTTCTAGGGTTAATTTGTCTATACTTCAGTTCAGTCCTCAGGGGAAAAAAAGGAAGTCATAAACCGCCATAGAGTGTTCAAGGTCATTGGTCTGGGCTTTTTGCCAATGCTTTAGATAGCTGTAGCCATAACATAGCAAATTTAACCCCCCAGAGCTGTTTAGCTAATGATGATTTTAAGAGAAAGATTTCTTAAATTTCTAACGCCAAAGTAATACCAAAATTCCTTCCCTTAAGTATAATTAAATGTCTAATTAATGTCTGATTTATTTTCTTTGTGTCTCTTCCCTCTCTCCAGATTCACAGCTACTCTATAAGTGGTGGGGATAGGAGACGTTATCTCGTCCAGGGATAGTCATAAAGCATTACAGTTATAAAAATATTTCTCATACAGTGGTAACAGTGATGTTAAATAGCCGATTTATCGCTTCTCCATTGCTGGCTGCCGACAACTTGCAAGCAAGCTTTGCAGCTGCTTGTTTCTGCCCACTAGTTGATTGGGGAGTTTCCCAGATCAAATGGGGGTAACTGCAATCCCCGTGACCAACAGGCTTCTCACCCATTTCGCCACCTCTTCAGGGTGGTCTTAACCCCCAGGAGGTCCCAAACAGGTCGGAATTCAGCCCAGGGGACAGAGCTCTGTCCTTCTGCTGCTGTCTCGTTGCAGCGTCAAGACAGAAGTCATGGCTGGCATTTTGTTAATTAGCAGCAATTTGCTGCCGTGACTTATGCAATTTCAGGTATGCACCAATAGGATTCTGGTCACTATCTATGATTGTTACTCTAAAATACATTTGTGTATTGTCAGACACCCTCTTTTGCACCTGCATGCACATGTATACATGCATTTTATACATATTTTGACATAATCCAATCTATTAAGTGTTGCTTACTTTGCAGTGTCAGCACCACTTGTGATTAATGTGTTGATGAGCAGCTCATGGCCATATCTGGCTGCTATGTGCAAAGGTGTGTTTCCATTCTTATCTTCACAGTCTATTTCAGCTCCTACAAATCAAAATTAAAATAAAACATAATTATACAAGCTCATGCAACTAGTACCACATAGATTACAAAAATGAATTCATGGTTTAGATCAGTGGTTCTTAACCTTGCGTTACTCAGGTGTTTTTGAACTGCAACTCCTAGAAACCCCAGCCAGCACAGCTGGTGGTGAAGGTTTCTGGGAGTTGCAGTCCAAAAACACCTGAGTAACCCAAGATTAAGAACCACTGTTTTAGATCACACATTGTTATAAAATTCCAAATTGGCAAACAGTCTGATTTGTCCATACATCTCCAAGTATAAATGGACAGCTACTTTCCATGTTCAAAAAAAGCATGCACAAATGAAGCCCTCCCTCCACATGAGGACTCTGAAAATTATTTTGAAGAAGAATATATCAATATGCTGAAGCCATCTGTATATGATGTAAAAATACAATGTTGATTATGTTCTGAGTCAAATGCAAAGGACAAGATTGCTTTGGGTATTTACTGTATATAGATCTCTATAGATATAATACTTCTCATACATAAAAGTCAGAATAATTTTACTTGCTCTTCGTAATGCAGGAAAAAAACGACTATTTTTTAAAAAATGAACATAGATATCTTAGCCTGTGACATTTCCTTTAATTCTGGTACAATATGGGCTCACTTAAGACAGCCACACAAAGGTACTCTGGAAGCAAAACTATCAATAAAAAATGAAAACTACAGGTCACCAGTATGAGTAAGACAAGGTTATCTAAGCCCATACTGACTGATTAACTGACACAGGCAAACTTTGGGAAAAACTGGTTTCATCTTCTCCAGGGAAGATTTGTGGTAGCTTATGACACTAAATTAATAAAACAGTTCTTCAGAAATTAGCATTTAATTACAGTAAGAGAAAGTGTATGCTGTCAATTTATCAAAAGCAAAGCAAAAAGCAAAGTGTGCTGCTTATATACTGCCCCATAGCACATAAGGACTCTCTGGGTGGTTTATCCCTCCCTGTGAACTAGGTACTCAATTTACCAAACTCAGAAGGACTGAAGGCTGAATGACCTTCGAACTGGCTGCCTGGGACTGAACCCAAGTCCTGAGCAGAATTTTGGCTGCCATACTGTAGTTTAACCACTGCACCACGAGGCTCATTACTAATCTGAAGATTCCAGAAATAAATTTCAAAAATCTGCAACATATTTTGATATGTGACACACACAAAAAGAAAAGTTAACAAATTAACAGAATTACTCAAAACAGTTTTGCACTATATCACAATGAAAAAGAAATCATTAACATTTCACTTTTCTTTTACCATTCTGGATGATTGTTTGAGATCTGGAAAATCTTCCATGAATTGCTGTCATGTGCAATGGTGTTTTCCCATCTTTACTCTGGGGAAAAAATAAGTCAACCCATGGTGGCAAAGTCACAATAAGATAAGAGTACTTTACAGTTTTCTTATATATTCTCGTAGTAGCAAGTCAAAGCATTTGTTGCTGACCTTTCAAGACTGCACATCCATCTACCTATCTATCTATCTATCTATCTATCTATCTATCTATCTATCTATCTATCTATCTATCTATCTATTATCTATCTATCTATCTATCTATCTATCTATCTATCTATCTATCTATCTATCTATCTATCTATCTATCTATCTATCAAATTTATACCCCACCCATCTAGACACAAGTCTACTCTGGACGGCTAACAATAAAAATGGAATAAAATCAATCTTGATAATCACTATTAAGTTGCACACAAGAACACAATGAAGCACATTTAGAACTATGCCTTTGGAATTCATGTTCTCTAGGTAAGATTATAGGAGAGAAGCCTTAGCACTATGTATCATTACCATTTGCTAAGGAATTAAGCAAGAGCAATCAAAGGTAGCATTTCACAAAAACCTAAGATAAATGAATCTATAACAAACATTGGAGAAGTGTTATTTTGCTTATAAATGTTCACCTAAACATCAGTGTCACCTACAAGCTCATAACTGATTAATTACAAAGTATCTCTAATGTACTCCATACAGTGTGTGTGTGATTACTGTATTTTTGAGATGCAGCAACTCCCCATACATATACTTCCTACAAGTACATCAGCCTTAATGCAGGAGACATGATTTCTGCTCAACAGTTACAACACATTTATAATCTGTAGACACGACTAACTACAGTGGGGAATGGATTATCCAGTTTTCAATGCATTGCAATGGGAAACCGTGTTTCACTTAGCGATGAAATTGCTTAGCAGCGATTTTTTCGGAACGAATTAACATCGCTAAGCGAGGTACCACTGTATAGGCAGACATTTGAGAAAATTTCAGGCAATATTACTATAATTATTATATGTATTTTTAAATGTTTGATTACTACTTTGTTCCAGCATTTTAAACTTTAAACCATCTTAAGGGACCTAATAAAAAAGAAATATATAAATGAAATTGGTTAGATAACTTAGAACGCAGATGGTCAATCATTCTGTTTCATTATTAAAGGGAAGATACATTTCACCTCTTAGGTATATAACATACCCCTCCCTATCTCAAACACAGGTTAGGATTTACTGCAACTAAAGAAGGAAACAATATTCAAACATACTACCCATACTGTTAGTTTTGGCTTATATTTCTGTATCTCCATTGATTATCATTATAGAGATAAAAAGTATCCTTGTTTCTCTGTCAGTTCTTATCTATACTACTAAGAAGCAACCATTCATTTTCCAGAGGATTTTAATTTCAATAAATTATTCTGCAAGACATAAGTTTTTTTATTTTATTTATGTGACATCTTCAAACATTTTTAAGCATTCATTACTTAGCTAACATTTTATTTCAGCTACAAAGTTAAAGGAAACTTTCTGCACTGTCTGACTTTCCTTTAGCCTCTCCTTTATCTAGCACAATGGTTCTTAAACTTCAGCTGAAGAACACTTTAAATCTCTTTGAGTAAAAGACAGTTAAAGTCTTGTAAAGATTATGAGCATAGCCCGTTTTTAATTAAAATATAATTTGACTAGAAATAGTGTGGGCAACCTGAGCAAGTGGAATAGCCCTTCACAGACTTGTACTAATAATTTGCCCTAGAAAGAATCAATCAATCTGTTTTGAAGTCTGGTAATCAATGCATCAGCATAACTCTGAGTGTTCTCCTATTTATTCCCATTATCAAAATGCATTAGACCATGAATTTGTGGAATTAGCATGTTCAATTTAGTATGAAGTACACAATGGTGTCAATAAAGATAATTATAAATATTATTACAGCATTTAAAATTCACCTTTCAGTTCACTTTACCTTCATATTCACATCTGCACCATTACAAACTAGAAGTTCTAAACACAATGCTCCATGGGTTGATGCTGCAGCAAAGTGTAAAGGCGTATATCCCTTGTCATTCATTTGATTTACATTAGCACCAGAATCTATCAGTTCATTTACTACAACATCTTGCCCATTGAAACAAGCAACATGAAGAGGTGTATTCCCATATGCATTTGGTTCATTCATCTGTTGAAATAAAATACAAGTTGTTATGCAAACTTCATTAAATTCTTATATTGCTTTCAGTTCATCACAATCAGAATTTGCATTTAAAAAAATACATGAATCAAAGTACCGGTATTTGTTCATCAAAAATTATATTTGTGTACTGAATCGGAATCCAAACAGTTAAGTCAAATTATTGAGGAAATAGGTCATCTACGTTTGCATAGAACTTGGCACAAATTTAATTCCAGTTGAAAAAACTCAAATGTACGGCACCTGAGAACAACTACTATCTGTCAAAATAAACAATATTAATGAACCAGTGTTTTGACTCAGCACAATGTAGTTTCAGCTGTTCAATTCTTTCATAAAGACTTTAGCTATGATCTGCAGATCTCTGATTACTTTTTCCCAGCACCACAGAAAATATACTACCTCAATAAACCTGTATATATTCTTCTAGATTTAGACTGGATCTTAACCAAACTGTAAAATCATCAATATATCAAGGAGACAAAAGCTCAGAAAACAAAGTAGTTTTCATTTATGTTTTCTTCTTTCTTATAATTTGCCTGTTTTATATTTGTGAGCCAGAAAAAAATTGCCAGTTTTAATTATACTTGTACAATGGAAAACTGTAGGCATGACATCAAAGGGTTATCTTTACATACTTAAGTTGTGCTTTCTACTGGTTTTACTAGAACAACAGTATTGACTAATCAGCATTTCAGAAAGTTATTATTTCCAGTTATTATTTCCAGTGTCAAAACTGAAATTCTATTAGAAGTTAGAAGCTCACACACCGCATTACATTAATTTCTGCTTTACTGTGCAGACATGTACACTATAAGATATGCTTATATTAATGGAAATGTTTTGTCTCTACAATAGGAAGCTGTATTCATTGATAAGATCTTATCATTCTTCCAAGATCAACTGTTTTAAAATTCTATAAATTTAAAGATGGATTATTCTGACAGTAATGTCCATATTACTAGCTAGCTATATATACACTTCATGTGTGTGTGTGTGTGTGTGTATGTATGTATATATGTATGTGTTTATATATATACATATATACACACACATATATTTATACACACACAAACACACACACACATGAAGCCTCCTGAACCATCTCTGTGTCACAACAATATGTGAAAAAATGAAAGGCAATTTAGATTCATTCTTACTCACATCAACTCCAAGATCTAGAAGATACTTGACCACACTAATCATTCCACTAGAAGCTGCAGCATGTAGAGGTGTATATGATTTCTTGTCTTTACAGGTTACTTCTGCTCCATGGGCTACAAGCAGTTTTACCACATCAATATGACCTGAACATATAGAGAAAATTATTATTTTCCATACTGCAAGCTTTAATCAGCATACAGAGCAACATGTTTTTGTCTAGACTTCAATTTATCATACTTTTTTCCTGTAGACTACTGTGGTGCTGATGTCTTCTACTGAGACTTTGGTAATATAAAGCATTAAAAAAAAACTGAATCATTTATAAAAATTACAATTAGCTAAGAGGCCAACTGTTAATGCACTTTTTTAAGTTAGTAGAGAACAACAACTGATTCACTTAGTGTTTACCTTTTAGAGAATCCAATTTTTGCAGCACCATTCAGTGGTCTTTGTACATGTGAAAGACCCACAGCAAATCTGCTAGATATATTTCAGGAACGGTCTATACATCCAGGAGAAAGTCCCTTTATCCTAACCCCATTTCAAATAAAGCAACTTTCTCCAAACTCATGTTCTCTATTTATTTATTTGTTTGTTTGTTTGTTTGTTTGATTTTTACCCCGCCCCTCTAGACCATGTCTACTCGGGGCGGCTTACAAAATAAAACAAAACAGTATAAAAATATATAAAATCATAAAATTTTATGTGTTAGAACATAGGCCAAGCTGGCCACAGATAGTAACTCTAGTGAAACACATCTGCAGGGTCTCATGATGGGCAAGCAAGGTCTATTAACATATAAAAAATGGGCAGACTAGAAGGCCTGAGGCAATGGCCAAGAAAGTATATTCCCATTTGCTTTGTAAGATTTGGAGAAAAATGATTTTGTATTCCCATCCACCTGAGAATTTCATTAGATATTAAGTATCCAAGCTTGCATTCAAGCCATCTGTTCAAAAAAAGTAAACTATATATAGAAGCATGATTTAAGAGCAAATGCTTGAAACAAAGTGTGAAATGAATAAGTAATTAATAGGAAAAATGAATTATGCTGCAAAGAAATGACATTCCTTTACATACCCATATAAGCTGCCCAATGGATAGCTCGCCTGTCCTTCTTGTCAAAGGCATTAATATTGGCACCTCTAGATAATAATAAACTGACCATCTAGAAGGAAGAGAGTTATATTTCTTAATAGACAAAAATGTTCCTGACAAATTAAAAGATAATCAACACTGTAAAGTTAAAGAATATGAGCTGCTACTTCCTTTGCAAGTAACAACAGAATTACATAGACAAACATCTGTTTGTGGAAGGACAGCTGGTCTGAAGAACTGAAAATAACTCATTTATACCTCAGCATGTCCACTGAAGGCTGCATGATGCAATGCTGTTCTACCAGCACGATCCGACACATTTACATTACTAAGAAGTGGCACCAAGGCTTCTGCACACTTGACTGCTTTATTTGCAGCTGCTATGTGTAGGGGTGTTTGCCAATTTTTGTCACGTGCATTGACATCTGCTGAGTGCTTCAACAACACCTGCACAGCATCCTAAAAAACAATAAATAAATAAATACATTCAATTGACTTTTAGCTTGTTTCAGTTCGGTCTTCACCTTCAATTATCCCAACACTCTTCCTACTAACAAGATAAAATAAAGAAATAAATCATGCTAAATGTCCATTTTCTTTTATGCAAAGTATCCCAAAGCATATAGTGTTGTTATCATGTGTCATGAAGTGTCTTCTGACTGCTAGCAACTCTAATAGGCTTTCTCAGGTATGTAAAATGTTCAAAGAACGGTTTACCATTGCATCTGAACCAGTTTCCTGCATCCAAGTTTGACATTTGTATATTATACCACAGTTGCCTCTCTCAAAGCATAAGAGTAAACATATGTCCAAAGAATTAATGAATCTTTTACAGAAGCAAGTGGTTTAGTGAAACTATTTCTCTATCAAGTTCCTCTTTTGCTGGTCTCCACCTCCATCTTAGCAACAATAGCCCTAGGGATACCACATAAAGTGAGCTGCCTTTTGGATAATCTCTTAAGAGTAGGAGCTCCCAATTTTAACATTTAATAGTGATGTTCAAGTGTTGGATAAAGGCAGGAATGTGCCACTTTACATTCTCCCTACTGCAATCTTTGAATCTGAAAAGACATTTTTCATTCTGCTAGAATTAAGACACTTATAGTAATAATTTGTTTCATTTTAATATTTCCTGATGTTTTTGTGATGTTGTATTATGATTTCATTTGCTCTGAGAGCCCTATAACCAAAACCTTTACAGCATATAACTTTAAATATAAAGATAAAATGGTAAAATATGTAAAATTCTTTTAACTGCTGAAACTAAGTCTAGAGTATTGCTCATGCAAACTCAAGTGCATAGCTATACAACTGCTTGCACAAACACACTCTTATTGCAGAACCAACGATCTCACAAAGATACCAGAATACACCTGGTATGGTATTTGTGTCACGACACAAAATAATTTGTTATGGGTGAGTCATCTGGATAAGGAAGAATGTACACGACAGCAGCAAACGCGAAGGAGATTATTATGTAAAGGAAGAGGGCAATGGAAAATGAGGTTTTCAACAGTTTCTCCCCTGGGAGTTGCAAATCCACAATTCATAAGAAAAAAAATACTACCTTTCAAGTTCTACTAGCAATAATTGTGTATGAAAAGAAGCCGACGCAGAAATATAACTAAGCCTTCCACTCTACAGGATGACAAATAACACCTTGGCTTTATCTAAAGAGAGTATAAAAATTCAACCTTTTCATAGTGCTGATCCTTGATTATGAACCCCCAGGAAGAAGAGCTAGAAAGATCTGTATGTCCATGCTCACCCATGTCAATACTGCAGGCCCAACAGAAAAAATATCCTATTGAAACGAAGGGAATTGCCAGTGCTTATTTAGATCCTACTGACTTAAAACTGATCTACTCTAGCTGGGAACAAAATTGAATTTAGCCCATAGTGACTAACGAATAAGCCAATGACTTTACTCAAGATATTTATCTGGCTTATTCATTCTCTTTGATACCTTGCAATTTAACTAGCAGTCTTCTTCTCCATCCAGGTATATCTCCCCAACAGTGCCTTGGCAGTAGCTGATAGTTTATTTTCACTGAAAAACTTATTCTCAACAACTTTCCCACACTATTTGTTAGAAGTATTCTAACTACTTAATCAGTAGATGAGTCAGAAGCATCAGTAATTTCCTTCCAATAAACACAAGCTCATGCTGGTGCTCCGATATTGATACAATGGACAGATGAGTCTCTCTGCCTTCTTGTGATTTGCTGCCAGCAAATCCACAGTCCTAGCCACTCCCCTTTGAGATCTGCATCATGAAGTCATCTGAATGAGCAGCAAAGTGGCTCCTTATGTAATAACAAAGGCACAGATCAAATGTGCAATATTTATCGAACAATATCCATTAGGAAACACATTGTGGCATTATCACATATCATTGTAATGGGGTTGCTACCTTTTTTCTTGCATTGCTTCTTTGCATGAAATTGCTGTACAACAAATATAAAGACAAACATGTACAGCTTTGTCCATGCTACTTATTGCTGCTCCTGTTAAAACTACTGTTATACATTTGGGAGGAAAATGGAAGCCTTTGAAAAAATAAGAAGGTGAGAACTCCAAAGAAAAATAGCTTGAATTCCACTGCAGCAACAGTTTTTATTTGCAGCCTTCATGGCACTGAAGTGAGAAATATCTTCAGTTTTGTGTATATGGAAAGGTGGCCTACTGAGACAAAACAGAGACGGGGATTATTATAAGGAACAGATAATAGCCACAACAACATTCTTGTGATCTAGTACCCATTGAAGTTTGTTAGCAAGTATGTAAGGATTTACAATCTAGGTGGCTCAAGTCTTGTCTAAGTATTAACCCTCTCAAAAATATTCATCTGATATAAAAGCTTGAAGTCTGATCTATTTAGAGAGGTGCAGTTATTAAACAAGACTGGCTTATCCAATGCAGGGAGCTCAACTGAAAATTCCACTTTGTGTGTTTAGGCTCTTAACCTACAAAGCACTACAGATTATAATTGTTTGGCCACTAATGGCAACAAGTAGACCAGAATGTCTATAGACTGTGAACAAATGCATTTTAGAGTCTGTTCTTCCCACTAGTAGCTAGGTTCTTAACCTGTGGTCCATAGACCCCTGGTGTGTGTGTGTGTGATGTCATCACAGGGGGTCTGTGAAGGCTTGAAGAAAAAGTATTCGCGAAGGCTTTCACGGCCAGGATCTAATGGTTATTGTCGGTTTTTCGGGCTCTTTGGCCGTGTTCTGAAGGTTGTTCTTCCTAACGTTTCGCCAGTCTCTGTGCCCGGCATTTTCAGAGGACAGCACTCTGTGCTCTGGTGTAGTTTGCTTGGGAGTGGAGTATTTATGGCTATGAGATAGGCTTTTGTTATGATCTTTTGCAGTTAAAATAGGTAGGTATGTAGGTATGTAGGTAGGTAAGTAGGTAGGAAGGGAAGGGAAGGGAAGGGAAGGGAAGGGAAGGGAAGAACACAACCTTAATTTTGCTTGTTGGTGTAAAACATGACTTTTCTAACCCACCACCTTCATTAAAAACAAACAAAAGCAAAAATCAGTTATGAAAATAACTGATAGCAAATATCTGTTTATTATTTCTCCACACAGTGAGAACATGCAACTGACACTGAGTAGCTGAAACATTTCTTGCTACTGCGCAATCAGAAGCCAAAGAAAGAGAATAAGTCAGTGTCAGTGTGATAATATTATTTTTAAAAAATTGTATGGAATCATTCCAATGAAAATATAATAGGAGTGTATGCATTAATAGATTAAGTTATTTATCTCTTCTCTCCAATTCTGAAGACCTTTCATGAGAAACTTTAAATAAATATCTGATGCACTTTAGGGTTTTAAATCCTGAATTAAGTCGTGGTGATCCATGGCAACAAAAGATATTTAAATGGGATCCATGGTAAAGAAAAAGTTAAGAACTGCTGCACTAGTATGTACCGTAAGTCTCTTTGCAGTTGGATGATAATTCTTAATAACTATTTATGTCAATAAGTGAATGTCCAAATACAGTGAACATTACATGAAGAGGGTTACCAAAGGAAACCTAGGCTAAGGCTTGAAGGGGGGGAAAGTACCTAATTCAAAAATACTAGGCACTACAGGTAATTCAACAGTACTACATAGTCATCTCAGGTAATATGAACTCCTACAAAACATCTAACAAAGGTCTGACCAACAGGGTCTCCCTTACTATACCCTGTATAATAATCACTAATCATTTCAATAATCTACACACCTGTCTCTTTTCATAGGTTTATGGGTATCCAGAAAGCAGGTGACCCGTGCTTTCAGCAATGACAGTCCATACCCTTTTGCTTACTTGCACAGGGTGTCTTGATCTCTGAGACTCATTCACAGAACTGGAATTATGATTTCTAGTGGTATTAGTGCCTGCAGTTCTGACATATGTTATCAGTAAGAGTTCTGAGAAGAAAAGCATCACTCCTCCTCTCTTTATTTTTCAATGCTGTCTCTAGGCACTAAAAGGGAATCTTTTCTGATGGTATGACCAAAGTATGAATACCCTGAGTTTAGTCATTTTAACCTCTAGTGAGAGTTTAGGCTTCATTTGATCTAGTGATCACTTCATTGTCTTTGTGATGGTCCACAATATCCATAAAGCAATCCTCCATCACTGTTTCAAATGAATCTATTTTTCACAGACCAGCTTATGCATCTGTGCATAGCAACTGTGATTACCACAGTATGAATGAACTTGACTCTTGTCTTCCATGACACTTTCTTACACTTGAGGATCTTTTCTACTTCCTTAGCAGAGCTCCTTCTGAGTTTCATTCTTCTTCAAATTTCTTGGCTAGTCCCCATTTGGATTGTGATTAAACTGAGACTCAGAAAAACTTCCACAATTTCAATTTCTTCATCATTCACACTAATGTTATGTAATTCAAGACTTTTGTCATTTTAGTTTCACTCATAATTCTGCTGTACACTTTCTTATCTTCCTCAGTAGTCATTTCAAGTCACTATTTTCTGCTTATAATATGGTGTCATCTGTCAGTCTTAAATTAGTTATGTTTCTTTTAACCACTTTCAGTGCTCTTATAACAGAAGCTAGCACTGTTTATTAGCACCTTTCCTTATATGTTCTGTTTATAAAATGGAGAGAGATAACATACTCTCTAGTCTGACATTGCCATTTAGAAACTATCCTATTTTCTCATATTCTCTTCTAACAGTAACCTCTTGTCCTGATTATAGATTATGCATCAGGAAAATTAAATATTGTACCATAACCCATTTCTTTCAAAGCCTTTGATCGTAATCTCTGATGCACAATGGATCTTCTGAAATTCTTTGGTATGCTCCAGTAGCCAGTAATGGCAATACATAGTCTAGTGTCTCATCCTCTTCTAAATCCAACTTGAGCATCTAGCTTTTCTCACTCTATATATGGCAAAGATTTTTCATAAAAACTTGAACGTCACTTTCCTTACATGA